CGAATCGACGTTGGATTTTCGTCGGGAGCACCGGATCAATGTCGATGAGTCTGTAGACCAAGTTTAACATCTCAAAGTCAAGCTCGCGCTCCGTTTGGTCTGGAATCCGGGCACACTGTTCGAGGAAGGTGGTCACAACACCAGCATGCGCACAGCTTCGAATGAAGTCACGTGCTTCCTCCGCCGACACCCGCTCCATCCGTTTCTCATCGTCTAGGCCGATCACTGCACGGAACCAGTTCTCGTCATCGAAGATACTCAGCCATTTCACCCATTCTGATGAATCTTGCCAGAAACATTCGAGCACGACGGACTGGATGATAGCATCCAAACGGTGCGTGTGGATGTCTGCTGCTTGAACACCAGAGTTCCGCAGCGTACGGAAGACATAAAGATGGGTATTAAGGTCTTCTGGGTACCTTGTGAGTTCAGTCGCGTTGAGAAAATGACGATAAATCAGCTGGAGGGAGTCGACAGATGCCTGCAGATCGAATTGCTGGTACAGGTTCATAGATAGCGAGTAGCACAGGAGCCGGCTGTACTTGGACTTCGGACCGGGCTGCACGCTGGAGTCCAGGTCGTAGGCGGCAAGGGAAGGATGTCGGACAAGGAACGGCGCAAGACCAGAGATCCAAGGCACCCGTTGATACGTCCATGCCTCGGCAGTCATCCTGATCATCTGGCGAACAGCAAAGACGAGATTGTCTGCTGTCCCGTCCGACTCTGATCGGATTAGCTCTTCCAGAGCGAATGTCAAGGTGAAGTCGTTGTCTGTGGTCTGGAAGGGAACTTGTGACTGATGGAAGAACAAATTGGTCAGCTCCCGCTGGAAGTTGGCAGGGCTTTTGGACAGTGCATTCAGATACTCCATGTACATCTGTTGCTTCTCCTTTTGCAGTTGCGTCTTTGCTTTGGCATGAGGATCACGGCCAGAGATGCCCCCCTGCGTGGGGATCAGTTTCCGGCGCTTAAACTCGATCACGTTCAGACCAATCAGAGCGGACACAGCAGGGACCATGCTCTGCACGTCGGTGGAGCCAAGAAACCTCGAGCTAGCCAGCGCTTTCCCGAGATCAGCGTCTCCAATCGGAGATTGCAGAGGCGATTCGGTGTGTAGGGAGAACGCACAGATGGCACAGATGGCCCGGAGCACAGAGATCTGTCGACGTAGGCGGACGTTGTCCTCAAGCAGGTTGCTCATGGAGCCAGCTATGAAATCTGCAAGTCGCTGGCAGAGACCGACTTCAGGAGCCTGCAATAAACCCTCGAAATGCTCTCGATACATGGTGCATGGCTTCCCTCGTTCAAAATCCCAGAGCGCCTGGGAAAGCCCCTCCACGAACGGTTCAAACTCGACGTCGTTAGATAGAGAGCGCACAGCCCAAGCAAGAGCCCGGGTCTGTGTTGGGACAGTGATCTCCTGTGCCGCTGACTTCATTGCCCCCAACATGCTCTGGGTCCGCAGACGAGTGTCGGAAGATTTGGCGGGGGCCTCGGGATCTGTCACAGCGACTTTCTTTGGAATATGAGCCCTCATTCTGTTGCCCAATCTTTGACTCAGTGGCCAGAGGGTTCGCGACAGCGGCGTCTGAAACGGACTGTCCGAGAAGAGCAGCGGGAGCACCGTGAACGTCACGTAGACCAAGACAAAGAGGAGCAGCAAAGCGGACGATATGCCTGTGATGATGATGTTGATGGGCAGGAGGAATGCCACTAAACCTGCGAAGAACAGGACCAGTGCCATGTGCAGGAGAAGCGGGGGAATGCCAACAACGACATGCATCTTGAAGCGGCGCAAACCGTAGTACAGATACATGTACACGCGCGACTGGGTGAAGATGGTGGGAAACATGGTAGTCCGGTGCTGGTACTCCCGCGCCCACTGCTCGACGAGTGTCGCGACAAGTGCGCTGGATAAACTGAGCCCGAGGCTGGCGAACCAAAGTGCGTTGCATATGAGAGCTGAGAGTGGGGGCGAGAAGGCAGCAGGGGGAGGGAGTGCGTCCGTCACCGCTGTACCGTTGTTCAGGTTCGCAAGCTGACGAGAGATCTGGGTGAGCAACACGATGGTCTGGCTGCCCGAGTCCGGGTTTAGTGTCTTGTAGCTATCAATGATGAATGTCGTAACGACACCGGAGAAGAGACCAGCCTGATGAGTCAGATTCAGAAGAGACCAGGATTGAAAACGGATGAGAAACACACGAAGATGAGCAGACCATCCATCTCCCTGCGCCAGCCCTCGATGAGCCCGTCATCGTACTTTTTCGCCTCGGAGATGTATACGCCCCACATCTTGTTCCCGCTGGCACTCTCACGCTCAATACTTGCTTCGTTGGCCTCTTGTTTCTCGGTCTGTTGTTTGTCAGCTGGCGGCATGGTCAAAAGCAGGGAGGGGAACTGTTGTGTCTCGTGTTTGAGCAGCTTTTCTCCATACACGCTGCCTGGCTGGAACAATGCCACGGCTGACAGCCCCCAAGCGCCCAGCGCCTGAATGGCGGATTTAGACATAGGCGCTCAAGGAAGCCAACGCAAGTTCGGACGGCACAAAGATTGCCCGGTAGCGCATGCCAGGGGCGTGCCAGTCCACTGGCGCTTCCAGAAGATGGACGGATAACCTTGAGCACTTGTAAGACATTGTCGTTCCCAGGAGGCGCACATGTGTTCATTAGTCGCCGTAGAGTCTCCATGAGCAGATGGGAAGTCATAAAAATCCAACCAGACGCGGAATCTCGCAAGGGATAGAGTAGACTGGCTTGTGCCCTTGATAGCTGGTCGCATGCGGTGTGTTGCGATCGTCCCTCATCTCGCAGATCCTCCCGAGTTGCACAGCCATGGCCAATCCGATGACCAGTCATGTAGAGCACGAGTCCCCTCTCTAACCCCGGCCGAGATGGCTCTCCCCGTGGTGCACCGCGCTCACACGCTCTGCAGCGATATCAGATAGAGGTCGTGCTTCTCAGTGGAGGGAGGTGTAGACCAAATCTTCACACATGTGCAGTTCCAAGGGAGTGCACCACGCCAATTCTCAGGGACGTGTGGTCCCCATCGAGCGGAAACCGGAAGTTAGGGATGCCTTTCATTCCAAGAGCTGTTCCAAGTGGCCTGAAAGAAATGCGTGCTGTCACAGGCTTGTCACAAGCTTCTAAGGCTTTCTGATGCTCTTGCACTGGCAGCAACGACATTACGCATTCTCGCTCTCTGGCAGCACGTTGGGAATAGACTTGGACTCTTTGGCCGGCCGTCTCCCGCCATACGTGGAGACCGCGCATCTGTCCGAGCTGTACTTGGCGCAAGCCCATGGTTTCGAAGCTGTCATGTCAACTCAGCTGGAAGAGGGTCCCTGCAGCGCACGATTCGAAGGGGTGGAAACGGCCACACATGCGGGTGCTGTCAGAAAATCAAAGTAATATTATGCGGCTTACCAGAACGTCGTTGACACTCACGCCTGTTTTGGCAGCTCTCCCAAGTGTCGCAAGTCTGTAGACGCCGGCGTTGATGGCGATATTTAAAAGCCTGCATGCTGGATAGAACACAGCATCGAGAGCATCTAGGGTATCTTTGGGCTGCCTAAGAAACTGGTACAAAACGTGAGTCGATTCATCGCACTTAGTTTCCTTGTCTGATTCTGTGGCATTAGATTGCTCTGCGTGAGTACATTGTATCTTTTTCGGTCTTGCTCAGTCTGACTCTCCTCTTACTAGACTATGACTATGCTCGACGGGGTTTCAAACTGCCCTAGGTCCAGGAACGGCGTGTCTAACTCCTTGCTGTCCGATATCTTGTACAGCCAGCGATCAGCTTTGCAGTCCTGTCCTGCCTCCCACATCTGCGAATCTTGCTGCTTTTTTGCAAATACGCTCCATTCAGGTCACCTGCTGCAGTATCTATCGTGCCTCCGGCTCCTCCGTGATGATATAAGACATGCTATATCGCTCAGCAACTGGTTCATGCATCCTTTCGACTCGGAGATCATCGTTGGCGTGAGCACCTCTGGTACCATGTTGAGCCACATCGCTAATCTCTGCTCTAGATCTCTAATTGACGCTTCTCTCACCGGTCTCCTGCATGCCTATTCATCACGCGCACCGGGTCCTGCACGAGCCACCCGTAACCCCGCCTTCGCTTCTAGTGTAGCACACAAACGACGCAGCACTCAAAAAGATGCGATTATCTTGGCAACAGGATCTTCTCCGACGGCGTTTCAACTGCCACACGATTGAGCCGCCTCTGTGGCACTGGTCAACGCTGAACTGGGCAACACCGCATGTCACCATGGTGGTTCGCATGAGCGAGTGGGATAGGTCGACGGTGCACACTACGGGGGGGACGCAAGCACTGCATGCGAGGGTCCGCCCCAGTCCGTCACGCATTCCGCACTATAATCATGGCATCGAGCACGAGTCTCTCCGAGGCGCTCTTTTGCTGGGGGATCGGCCACGGCGCAACGATCAGTGCGGCGCACATGCACGAGTATGCAATCGACCACCTATCGCCGTTCCTTAGCATAGGTGGCCCCACGTTCTCGACGTCGGCGGCAGTTCTGGGTACCTCCGAGCGGTCTCTCTCCAGGCGGACAAGTCGTAGGCATCGATCACATCCCTGAGCTAATTGGCCCGACAATCGTGAACTTGGGGAAAGATGTGGGATTGAGATAGTCGGCTTGGTGGGTCTTTCTTTCGCACAGGTGCCGAGTGGCTGATGTATTTACAACACAGAGTAAGGATACCTTGGGGGCATGCCGTATAATTCCGTCCTCTGTCGGTGCTGCTGCGGCCACGATTCGCCATGCTCTGGTCGAGCCACTGGCCCAGATGGGGAGCACTTTCATTCCTGATGGCACGGACGCTCGGCACATTGTGCAAGTCGACAAAGACACTGCGAATGGACGCGGCCTCTGGAATGTCGACTCAACGGGTCTCAGTGCTCCACATGGCGCAGTCAACGGAGGTCTTATGTCGGGAAGGGAACTCTCAGGATCTTAGCTGCTTGACTGTTGCACTCAATTAGCTCATACTCGTGTTGCTCGTCACACGTATGAAATACATAGATCGCTGGCAAGGTACATGAAGACAACACCTTCTGCGATGGTCCCTCTACTCCTCGTCACTCACGAGCGAAACAAAGGCAGAGAAAATGATCTCGGGAAGGAGCCGCCTTTGCATCTTTTCGCGGATAAATTCAGCATTGATCTGGTGTTCTTGCTGCCGGTCGTTCGTCTGCACCTCCGACAGAGCCGTGTCCAGGACGTGCAATGCATCCAATTTGGTGATCCACCCGTCGAACTCATTGACGGCCCAGTAAAGCACCAAGCCGAGCATATTGCCATCTGCAAGACTGTTCTCTGGATATTTGCGGATGAATCCAGAGACGGCGTTGGCGAATCGACGTTGCAGTTTGATCGGGATCACCGAATGAATGCGGGCAAATCTGTGTACCGATTTGAGCGTCTCAAAGTCCAGGTCGCGCTCCGTTTGATCCGGACTCCGGGCGACACACTGCTCGAGGAAAGTGGTCACAACACCCACACATGCACACTCGTAAATTTCCGTCCCCCTCTTGTTGTCAAGGCCGAGCACGGGGCGGAACCAGGCTTCGTCGCTGAAGATGCTCGGCAATTGCTCCCATTCCGCCAAATCCACCGATTTTGACAAACGCGGACGGAGATTTTTGAGCACGACAAACTGGACGACGACAGCCAAACGGTGCGTGCGGATGTCGGCTGCATGAATGCGCACAGTGCGGAGGACATAAAGATGGGTATCAAAGTCTCTGAGTTGCACATCAGACTCGACCAGATTCCGATAAATCAGGTGGAGGGCGTCCACACATGCTTGGGGATGGTACGGGTACTTCAAGTTTGTGCATAGCATGTGGCATAGGAATCGGGTATAATGATGCTTCGAAGCGGACCCTGACTCAGAGGCGGTGAGGGACGGATGTCGGACAAGGAACGGCCCAAGACCCGGCAGCGACCAATGGGGATATTCCGATGTGTGTGCAAACAGGCTGATCATCTGGCGAGCAGCAAAAACAAGATTGTCCGCGGTCTCGTCCGCTGTCTTTTCCAACGCTGAATTGATCAGCTTTTCGAGAGCGTCTTGCAGAGTCCAGTAGGCGATTGCTTCCGTGAAGACCATTCGCACCCCAGGGACCTCCAGTTATTACGTAAAATGGCTTCGAGGCCCCCTCCGGAGGCCATCAAACCACCCCCTACCCCCCCTGATCGGAGGCCATCCTGGAGGCGCCTTCCTAATTGGTACACTACCTGGCTATTCATCCACGGCCAGCATGGTAGGCTAGGCATTGACCCGAGTGTTGATATGTGCTGTAGTAGTGAGTATGAAGTCTCAGACAATGTCTTAGCTCACAAAAGCTTGTATTTCTTGCTTGCAAATGGCAGACCACTGGGCACACAAAATTCGGGATTTGAGCACATGAGCACTCCTCAGGTGCATAGAGCAACAGTATATATATTAATTCGAGATTGAGCATGAGGTAGCTGTGCCCACACGCAAAAAATGAGATGTTGCTGAAGGGATGGTTTATGGCCTCCACGACCTCCCAGGGGCAGAAAAAAAAGGTGTTGGGTAGCCCACAGGCCCTTGAATTCCGCTTCAATAGATCAATTTGATGCTTATGCTTTGTCAAAGCAACAGCCCAGGATATAAATTAGATGCTGGTGCAGTGGCAGAACTCACTGCATCTAAGGGGGTAGTAGCCAGGGGGTCTGTAGCCGCAGCTAGCCAGGGGGGTCTGGCTATGCCTGGATCTGACATATGGCTACCCTCTGGCTACTCTAGGTAGCCATAGATGATTTAGTTTTGAGTCCTAATGGTCCCCAAACTCATGAAGACGATGTCCAAGCGTTCCCTAATTGTTGCCGGGTTCATCAGAATGATGTGATCGTTCATCGACCTCATGTCCGCCATCAATGTTCAATTGCCACGTGGAGCTAGACAGAGTCTGGCTATGACAGGTATCCATGATGTAGCAATATATGACATAAGGGTCTAGGCTACACGTGTGCGGCTGTGGCTATCCAGAGTAGCCTAGACCTAACCATATATGGCAAGGGCCCTGATTAAGGGGGGTTAGATGCAGTGACTAGCCTCCACCGCCTCCAGGGCTGGGGACCAAAAGCGGTTATTGTAGATTCAGCCACATAAACCATATTTCTGATGTTGTTTGTCCTAGTCAGAATGTCTGGGTATTGTCAGGGGAACCCCCGCTTCGGACCGCTCTGCCTTCGATCAGGCATGTGATCGCGCTTGTGTGACCTGTCAGCTGTCACGCGCCACGGCCCGGACTGCCGCGCCAAGCGCTTCCCTCTGATGGGCACATGGTCAGCTGTCCCATCGTTCCCACTGTCTCGGTTTCCTATTGTTCTCCAATGGCCATTGTACTTATTGTTCCCATTGTTCTTTGTTTGTCGCTGCGCGCTCTATTGTTCTTGTATCATATAAATAGTGGCGCCTGGCAAGGAGAATCCCCAACACGGTTTCTCTTTGGATTCTCCCTTGCCAGGTATGCCGGTCTTGTACCTAGCTACCACTATTGACACTTTGGATTCTCCCTTGCCAGAACTCTGAGATCGGGTCTCGAGGTTGCCCTTACAGCAGAAACCGTGTTCCTAGGGATAACTGGTCAAGATTGCGAGGTTCGACGCCAACAGTAACAGCGGAGACGAGTCAACGAGCGACCAAGACCGCCAATCCGTCACCTCTTTTCTTGCCCCCTCCTCCCCTCCACAGGCACACTCGACCAGCATGGAAGACGACAACTCCCAGCATCGACTGTCTGCCCTGGAGACCAGCATCCAGAACATCGAAGCCGTACTCAATCAGCTCCTCAACCAACCACAACCCCCTGCCCCTGCCCCTGCACCAGCTCCGGCAGTGGGTCCAGGTGTTTCTGCTGGCCTGCAGTCGAACACTGCGCGCCCCCTCATCCGTCCCAACCCCCCCCCCTTCTCGTTCGATGGGGATCGCACCTTGGGCAAGAGCTTCTTGCACTCGGTGAAGCAGTACTGGCGTCTGCTTCCCGAGGCGTTCTTCGTGAATGGGGTAGTCGCTGAGGAGAAGGTAGTCCGCTTCGCCCTCTCCTACATGTCCAAGGACTCGGCGGCCTCCTGGTCCGAGCGCATGTCCGAGCGCACCCCGTTCCCGTTCCCCACTTGGGCTTTGTTCGTCACCAAGTTCAAGCTCCAATTCGTCGAGGAGAACGAGCAAGACCACGCCTTGGCGCGATTGGAAACCCATCAGTATTATATGGGCTCCCGCGACGTATTCAAGTACACGGACGAGTACGACGACCTCCTTGACCTCGCTGGTTATACCGACAACTTGGTCAAGGTGACCAAATATAGGACGGGCTTGGACCCAAAGATCAACCAAGCCATCACCACCTCTGGTAACCCTCCCAGCCTCACCGACTACGCCAAATGGCGTGTCCGTGCGTTCCGGCAGTACAATGCGGAACTCGCTGCCAGAGCTTCTCGAGGCCACGCAGCGCCTCCTCCCCGAGCGCCTGCTGTTGCCCCCCGTCCTCGTGCCCCAGTGCTCCCTGCTGTAGCACCGGCCCTCGCTGCCCGCCCGGCGCCCGCCCCTGTCGCCCATCCAATTCCCATGGAGGTAGACCGGGCCCGGCTCCGTGGTGACATTCGACGCACCTGCTTCCGCTGCGGCAGTCCGGGTCATCTTGCCCGTGACTGCCCCACCCCAGCTGACATACGTCACGCTGATGTCCTTGATGAGGTCATCAATCAGCTGGGGAGTGATCTGCTTTCCGAGTTGGTTGCTCGGGTCGCGACCACTGCAGCCATTGCGGATCATGCGTCCAACGTCGCAGCCGAGGAGGAGCAGGGTTTTCTCCCCAGCGATGAGTGAGTAGTACGCCCTCGTTCGCTTCACGTAATCGTTTCTCCTGTTTGTATAATGAATCCAATTCCCTCCACTCTGCAACAGTTGAAGCGATAGACGTACACCCTGCTTCCCCTCTAACCCCACGAGTCCGTAAGGAGAAGTGGGAACGCAAGCTCCCTTCCTGCTATGTCGCTGCCACCTCTCCCGGGGCCAATTCTCTCCACCTCCCCCTCGAGATCGAGTCCACCGACAACGCAGTGAAGTTATCTCTCAAAGGCCTGGTCGATTGTGGTGCCACATCCGACTTCATCGACTCGGCCTACGTCCTCGAAAATCACCTCCCCGTTCGTCGCCTCACCCAGCCTATCCCCGTTTACAACGTGGACGGCACGCCGAACGAGGCCGGTTCCATTCGCGAAGTTGCTGATGTGGTTCTCCGTTACCAGGGCCACAGTGAACGCGTGCAGCTTGCTGTCACCCGTTTAGGCAAGCAGCAGCTCATTCTAGGGTACTCCTGGCTCCGGAAGCACAACCCGGAGATCAACTGGGATACCCAGGAGGTAAAAATGAGCCGTTGCCCTTCTGGTTGCTCCACCTGCCGGGAGGAACTTCGCGAAGAACGTCGATCTGCCAGAACCGCAGCCCGGGTGCTCCGCACCATCAGACAAGGTCCGGTTCCATCCATCTGCGCTGTCGACGTTGAGGACCACGAGGACGAAGAGATGCCGGAGCTTTCGCCAGACTCGGACGATTATGACCCTGAAGATGTCGAAGAAGATGACGACTCCTTGGAAGCCGGTGACCGTATCTTTTACACCCGCTTCAACCCTTCTGAAAACATCCGAGCCACCAGCACCGTCTCTCAGCGACTCGCCGAGGCGTTTGCTAAGAACTCTGCACCTCCTCGGGATACCATCCCCGAGTGGGCCCGCGAGTTCGAAGATGTTTTCAGCAAGGAGTCCTTCGACAACCTGCCAGAGCGACACCCCTGGGATCACGCCATTGAACTGGTTCCCGACGCGAAGCCGACCAACTGTAAGGTCTACCCCATCTCCCCTCTCGAACAGAAGCAGCTCGACAGCTTCATCGAGGAGGGCATGGCTACTGGCAGGATTCGGCCGTCAAAATCGCCCATGGCGTCTCCCGTCTTCTTTGTGAAGAAGAAAGATGGCACCTTATGGTTTGTCCAAGATTACCGAGCGCTAAACGCGATGACAGTGAAGAACCGCTACCCGCTCCCCCTGATCAATGATCTCATCAACAAGCTCAAGGGAGCTTGGTTCTTCACCAAACTCGACGTTCGCTGGGGCTTCAACAACGTGCGCATTCGTCAAGGCAACGAGTGGAAGGCAGCGTTTCGGACAAACCGCGGGCTCTTTGAGCCGTTGGTGATGTATTTCGGCCTGACCAACTCCCCCGCAACGTTCCAGACGATGATGAATGACATACTTCAGGACCTCATCCTCTCTGGCGACGTTATGGTGTACCTCGACGACATTCTCATCGCACATTCCGATATCCACCGTCACCGGGAAATCGTGAACGAGGTCCTCCGACGTCTCCGCGAGAACAAGCTCTACCTTCGCGCGGAGAAATGCGAGTTCGAGATGCCGTCGATCAAATACCTTGGGGTGATCATTTCCCACAACCATGTGGAGATGGACCCGGTCAAGGTCGCAGGTGTGGCGGAGTGGCCAGCTCCGGCTAACAAGAAGGAAGTGCAGCAGTTCCTCGGCTTCACTAACTTCTACCGAAGGTTCATCCGGGATTTTTCGCACGTTGCCCGTCCTCTCTTTGACCTCACCAAGAAGGACGTGGCATGGACTTGGGGCGCCAACGAGGCAGCTGCGTTTCTTGCGCTGAAGAACGCTGTTACTTCTACCCCAGTCCTGCAGCTCCCGGATGCTTCCAGGTCTTACCGCCTCGAAGCAGACAGTTCGGACTTCGCGACCGGTGCTGTCATCTCGCAGCAGTCCCCCGTGGATGACAAGTGGCATCCGGTTGCCTTCTTCTCGAAGAGTCTTAACGAGGTCCAGCGGAACTACGAAATCCACGACAAGGAGATGCTTGCCATCGTCCGCGCCTTGGAGGAGTGGCGACACTTCCTCGAGGGCGCCGAGCACCCCGTTGAGATCTGGACCGACCACAAAAATCTGGAGTACTTCCGGAAGGCCCAGAATCTCAACCGTCGTCAAGCCCGCTGGTCCCTCTATCTGTCTCGCTTCGACTTCACCCTGCACCACCAACCTGGCCGCCTCATGGGCCGCCCGGATGCTCTCTCACGCCGCCCCGACCACGGAGTCGCTTCGGACAACGCAGACGTCACACTGCTGCGCCCGGAGCTGTTCCATGTCCGGGCCTTAGAGGGTCTTACTGTCTCTGGACCCGAAGCCCCTCTCCTGCGCGACATCCGGGAAGCCCTCGCCGGTACCCCCGACCTGGAGGAGCCCATTGTGTTGGCAGCACGTGAGCTCCTCAAGGAACGCGGAGTTCGCTCTGCTCGGGCTGCGGAGTGGCGAAAAGAAGGCGGCCTGCTCTACTTCCGTGGCAAGCTGGTGGTTCCACGCAACAACAACCTCCGCCGACGCATCCTCGAGCAGCACCACGACACCCGCGTCGCAGGGCATGCCGGCCGCTTCAAGACGTTGGAGCTGATCTCTCGGAACTACTGGTGGCCCCAGTTGTCTCGACACGTCAGCCGGTATGTGGCCACCTGCGATCTGTGCTGCCAAACCAAGGCGCTCCGCCAACTCCCAATCGGGGAACTCCATCCCACGGAGGTCCCTTCGGAGCGCTGGGAAGCGGTGTCGGTTGACTTCATTGTGCATCTGCCAGACGCTCACGGGTATGATGCTATCATGGTCGTTGTTGACATGCTTGGGAAGCGCAGCCACTTTATAGAGTGCCCTACCCGGCTCTCCGGTGAAGGTGCCGCCAGGCTTTTCTACAAGAACGTCTGGCACCACCATGGGCTGCCGTCTAAGTATGTCTCTGACTGCGGCTCCCAGTTCATAGCAGAGTTCACGCAGGAGCTGTGGAAACTCGTCGGGGTCTCATCGGCAATGTCTACCGCTTGGCATCCACAGACGGACGGCCAGACCGAGCGTGTGAACCAGGAGCTCGAGCAGTTCCTCCGGATCTTCACCAGCTACAACCAGGACGACTGGGACGAGCTGCTTCCCGCTGCAGAGTTTGCCTACAACAACCATATTCACTCATCCACGCAGCAGGTCCCGTTCATGACAGATGCCGGTCGACTCCCTCGTATGGGCTTCGAACCGAATGGACTACGCTCAGCTGCGAACGAGTCGGCAAACGACTTCCGCGACCGCATCGCGTCTGGAGTGGCAGAAGCCAAGTTGGCACTGGTGAAGGCAAAGGATGAGTACAAGCAGTACTACAACCGCCGGAGGGTCTCAGCTCCAGACATCAAGGTCGGAGATCGAGTCTGGCTTGACGCTTCTGACATAGCAACAACGTGCCCGTCCCTCAAACTCTCTCACCAACGGCTGGGTCCCTTCAAAGTCACCCAGGTTGTTGGGCGCGGTGCTTACAAGCTTGAACTCCCTCGCCGCCTCTCTGGTCTTCACCCGGTCTTCCCTGTTGTGAAGCTGCAGCTCGTTGAGGACGACCCGTTCCCAACACGCCCGGCTCGCGAGGAGCCGCCACCCGTCATGGGCCAAGGAGCTGGCGAGGAGTGGGAAGTCGAAGAGGTCCTGGACGCCAAGATGCGCTACCGGAGCATTTGGTACTTCGTGCGGTGGAAGGGCTACGATTCGTCGCACGACCAGTGGGTTAAGCACTCTGATATCTTCGCAGAGGACGCTATAGCGGCATTCTACCGCAAACACCCCAACAAGCCACGCATCATTGCCGCCGCCATCTTCGACTCCCTTCCGTTCCAGCACCCCTCTGCCACCATCTGCACGTTGCGTCGAGGCGCCGCAATCCAAGGGGGGGGTGATGTCAGGGGAACCCCCGCTTCGGACCGCTCTGCCTTCGATCAGGCATGTGATCGCGCTCGCGTGACCTGTCAGCTGTCACGCGCCGCGGCCCGGACTGCCGCGCCAAGCGCTTCCCTCTGATGGGCACATGGTCAGCTGTCCCATCGTTCCCACTGTCTCGGTTTCCTATTGTTCTCCAATGGCCATTGTACTTATTGTTCCCATTGTTCTTTGTTTGTCGCTGCGCGCTCTATTGTTCTTGTATCATATAAATAGTGGCGCCTGGCAAGGAGAATCCCCAACACGGTTTCTCTTTGGATTCTCCCTTGCCAGGTATGCCGGTCTTGTACCTAGCTACCACTATTGACACTTTGGATTCTCCCTTGCCAGAACTCTGAGATCGGGTCTCGAGGTTGCCCTTACAGGTATTCCAGAGAGACAGGTGGCAACTCAGATCAGATGCTAGCAGCAATAGCAGAACTGGCCTCCATGGCCTCCACAGCCAGTGACTAAAAGCGGTTTTTTGGGTTCAGCCGCATAAGCCATGTCTATGAAGTTGAAGGTCTTCATTATAATTATGAGGGTCCTTTAGTTAGATGTCTCACCACGTGAATCAGATGCTGGAGCAAATAGCAGAACTAGCCTCTGCTGCCTCCACAGGTTATCACTTGAAGAGTCTGAATGAGATGATAATGTAACAGATAGATGTTCTCATAGATAACTATGTTCTGCTATTTCTACCTCTGCATGCTAGTTTGATTGCAATAGAATGTTGAATTCAGAGAATGGGGGACCCTGGAGGCACTGGAGGCGCATGCAAGATCCAATCAATATCATCAATGCTATCAATGTCATCAATAGCATCAAGAGCATCACCGATCATTGGTAGATTGATCAGCCAATCAGATGATGAATAAAGGTCAAACATTGGGTATATTCATTCTTGAGAGACACAGACTCCATATATCCTCATGCTGACAGTGGATCAGTGGTCCCAGGACATGCCCCAATGACATATTGCATGCTTGTCTCAGGGACATATGATTAAAAATCGGAGTTGGCAAATGAGCTGAAAGTACTCCACTGTACCACTCATCTTCAGTTGACTTTCAGCTCATTTGCCAACTCCAATTTTTAATCATATGTCCCTGAGACAAGCATGCAATATGTCATTGGGGCATGTCCTGGGACCACTGATCCACTGTCAGCATGAGGATATATGTAGTCTGTGTCTCTCAAGAATGAATATACCCAATGTTTGACCTTTATTCATCATCTGATTGGCTGATCAATCTACCAATGATCGGTGATGCTCTTGATGCTATTGATGACATTGATAGCATTGATGATATTGATTGGATCTTGCATGCGCCTCCAGTGCCTCCAGGGTCCCCCATTCTCTGAATTCAACATTCTATTGCAATCAAACTAGCATGCAGAGGTAGAAATAGCAGAACATAGTTATCTATGAGAACATCTATCTGTTACATTATCATCTCATTCAGACTCTTCAAGTGATAACCTGTGGAGGCAGCAGAGGCTAGTTCTGCTATTTGCTCCAGCATCTGATTCACGTGGTGAGACATCTAACTAAAGGACCCTCATAATTATAATGAAGACCTTCAACTTCATAGACATGGCTTATGCGGCTGAACCCAAAAAACCGCTTTTAGTCACTGGCTGTGGAGGCCATGGAGGCCAGTTCTGCTATTGCTGCTAGCATCTGATCTGAGTTGCCACCTGTCTCTCTGGAATACCCAGACATTCTGACTAGGACAAACAACATCAGAAATATGGTTTATGTGGCTGAATCTACAATAACCGCTTTTGGTCCCCAGCCCTGGAGGCGGTGGAGGCTAGTTCTGCCACTGCACCAGCATCTAATTTATATCCTGGGCTGTTGTTTTGACAAAGCATAAGCATCAAATTGATCTATTGAAGCAGAATTCAAGGGCCTGTGGGCTACCCAACACCTTTTTTTCTGCCCCTGGGAGGTCGTGGAGGCCATAAACCATCCCTTCAGCAACATCTCATTTTTTGCGTGTGGGCACAGCTACCTCATGCTCAATCTCGAATTAATATATATACTGTTGCTCTATGCACCTGAGGAGTGCTCATGTGCTCAAATCCCGAATTTTGTGTGCCCAGTGGTCTGCCATTTGCAAGCAAGAAATACAAGCTTTTGTGAGCTAAGACATTGTCTGAGACTTCATACTCACTACTACAGCACATATCAACACTCGGGTCAATGCCTAGCCTACCATGCTGGCCGTGGATGAATAGCCAGGTAGTGTACCAATTAGGAAGGCGCCTCCAGGATGGCCTCCGATCAGGGGGGGTAGGGGGTGGTTTGATGGCCTCCGGAGGGGGCCTCGAAGCCATTTTACGTAATAACTGGAGGTCCCTGGGGTGACCATTCGTGACCGATAGAAGAATGAACTGGTCTGCTCCTGTTGGAAGCAGGCACCGCATTTGGAGAGTGCCACCAGATAATGCACGTACGTCCATCGCAGGTCCTCTTGCCGTCGCTCCTCCGCTTCGGCGTGGATATCACCGTCGGAATCGCTCGTCGGTGTGTGGTCCTGTTGCTGGCTCTGAGACTCGATCACGTTCAGACGGATCAGAGCGGAGACGTCGTGGATCATGCTCTGCACTTCGTCGACATTAAGAAACTTTGAGCCAAGCAGCGCATTGTCCACATCAGCTTCTCCAAATGGACTTTGCAGAGGCGACCTCGTGTGAAGAGAGAACGCGCAGATTGCCCAGATCGCCCGGAGGACAGAGAGCTGGCGACGGAGGCGGTCCTTTTGCTCGAGCAGATTGCTGTTGGAGCCAGCCATGAAATCGGCGAGACGCTGTCCAAGATGGACATGCGGATCCCGCAACAGGGAATGGAACAGTGCCTGGTACACACTACGAGGCTTGTTTCGATCGAAATCCCACAGCGTCTGGGGCAGCCCCTCGACAAGTTTCTCGAGCTCGTCATCATCAGAGAGAGACCGGACGGTCCACGTGAGAGCCCGTCTTTCTGTGTCAACGGTGGGGCGCAGTGCCGCCGATTTCAGTGCAACAATCATGCTCTGGGACTGCGGATGCGTGTCTGCACGGGGGGAAGCCTCGCCAGAGACGCCAGGGCTCGTCACAGCAGATTCCGTGGCTTTCTCGGGGTCGGCCAGACCGACTCTCTTCCAAACAGCCACTGCCCTCCGAATACAAGCACTCAGTGTGCTTCCCAAGCTCTGATTTAGCGACCATAGGCTCCGAGTGAGTGGTGTTTGGTACGGACTGTCGAGGAAAAACAGCGGGTGTGCAGTGAACGTTCCGTAGATCGAGACGAAGACGAACAGCAGCGCAGAGGAGATTCCCGTGATGATGACGTTGATGGGTACGAGAAAGGCAACGAGACCCGCAAAGAAGAGGAGGAGTGCCGCGTGCAGCAGAAGCGGGGGAACGCCAACAACGGCATGCATATTGAAGCGTCGTAAGCCGTAGTAAAGATACATGTGCACACGTGCGCGAACAGAGGGGGAGGAGAACATCGATGTGCGGTGCTGGTACTCCTGCGCCCACTGCTTGACCAGAGTCGCGACGAGTGCGCTCGACAAGCTGAGTGCGAGACTTGTGAACCAGAGTGCGTTGCAGATAAGGGAGGAGGCCGGGGGCGAAAAGGCTGCGGGGGGAGGCAGGGCACCCGCCATTGCAGTCCCGTTGTTCATGTTCGCGAGCTGCTGCGAGATCTGGCTGAGGAGTACGACAGTCTGGGTGAGCAGCACGACCGTCTGGCTGCCCGAGTCGGCGTTCAGCGTCTTGTAGCTGTCGATGATAAATGTCGTAACGACACCGGAAAAGAGACCAGCCTGATGAGTCAGATTCAGAGATAGAATCAAATTGAGCGGAGGAAGAGACGCACGAAGATCAGCAGACCATCCATCTCGCTGCGCCAGCCCTCGATGAGGCCTTTATCATAGCTCTCCGCCTCGGAGATGTAGACGCTCCAGAGCTTGTTCCCGCTGGCTCTCTCGCGCTCGAGACGCTCTTCTTCTGCCTTTCGTTTATCGGCCTGTTCGTTCTCAGCTCGCGACATGATCAGAGGCAGGAGGGAAACTACTTTGCCTCGTGTCCGCACAGCGTTTCTCCGTACACGCTGCCTCACTGGAACGATGCCACGGTTCACAGCCACTGAGCGCCCAACAACAGAGTGGCGGATTTAGACACAGGCGCTCAAGGAAGCCAATGCAAGCTCGGACGGCACAACGATTGACCGGCGGTGCATCCCAAAACATGGCAGTTCATCGAAGCTTCGACGGATGGCATCAAGGACCAGTGCGGCGGTATTGGTCCCCGGAGGCGCACCTCTGTGCATTAGTCGCCGTAGGATATCAGTGAGCGAACGGGAAGGCCGCATACTTTCCGCAGGGATAGGGTACTGTAGTACGCTCGGACAGGCCCGCGGTACTTGGTCACATGTGATAAGATCATTGCATCTCCCGCCGTTCTTCTCGAAGTCGCATTGTCCTAGCCAATCCGGTGTTTTGTCAGGCAGTCGAGAGCTTTGATCTTCCTAACCTCGGCCGCGATGACTCTCGCTGTGCCGCACGGCGCTCACACGCTCTACGGCGACATCAGATGCACTTCAAATTTGACCATGGATGCAGCGCACCCCGATTCTCAGAGAATACGGTTCCCATTGAATCCGAAACCGGTTGTTTTCACAGCAGCCTTTTGCTCGAAGTGGATTGGAGGAAACACGTGCTGTCACACTATATCAATGGAGTTTCGGGCGGAGAAACGAGCACCGAAAACGGGGTTTCTTGTTTGTGATCACGTGACGAATCGGACGGACCGAGGACAACACAGGCAAGCTGCGCTGCTTTAGCAATCGCATACATCTGCCTGTCTGGTCTCGAGTCCGTCCGACATCTCCGAGCCCACCCACACAGAAAAGCCCACCCACCCGCGCCTCTTTCTGAGTTGCCTGCAAAGCTAGAGGCTTTTCGGCTGGGGATCAGCCGCAAAAGTCTTCCCCGGGTCGGCCGGATACAACGCGTCATCGCATAGTCCAGCTCGTAGGCCGAAAGTCCAAGGCCACAGCGCGCTGACCGGTAAATCCCGGTCCAGCATCGATCGGACTGACTCGACGCTCGGATCCGTCCTGCCCCGCCCCCCAAACCTAACTACACGCAAAAACCAGCGAGAGAGGAGACACGTCAGCAAACAAGAAAAGCTACTTACTTCAGTCACGAGTGCGGTTAGCACTGCAGCAGCAGCAACGACACTCTACATGTCCTTGCTTTAACGACGCGTCGGGAATAGACCTCGGAGTTTGCGGCCGACCATCTCGGATCATGCGACTGGACAGCGCAAGCTATACTTGTCGCCAGCAACGGCCTGTGCTAACTTGAGGCGCTAAGGCAATCTTGAATCGACACGACGGGCAGCCCACCGCACATCGGTACCGCACACGGCCCCGCTTTAATAATCTATCTTAACCTTGTTATGGTGGACTGGGTGCCGTGCGACCGCCGCTCTCTGCAGCGCACAATCTGAATGTGGCGGAAACAGTCCCACACGCAGGGGGTGCTGTGAGAGCGAGACTGGCCCAAAGCGTAGGTCGGTTCACTACACTTCAATTTCAGAGACCGATTCTGCGGCATCGGATTGGTATGTGTCAGTGGAATGCATCGTGTGCGGTCTCGTTCATTCTGACGTTCCACTTTCCAGCCTGTGACTGTTCTCGCCGCGCTCTTTCCGGGGAGCGATCCGTCTCCGATCGCTGGCGGGTGGGTCGTATTGTGTGCATTTGCTCTGTCTTGGTGTTCACTGCAGCCCTGAGGCCCAGGTGACGTATCTGCTATCGACATTCTTGCTAGCCTTCGCCATTCACGAGTCGCTCGGCAGTGCCGATGATGTATCCACATTTCGGTGTGTGCCCCTTACTGATGCAACCCGCGTGTCTCTCTCATGCACACATCCAGCGCTTCTCTACCTCTTCCAATTCTTCTTCACACATACCATTTCTAATCACGCGTATGATCCTATCAAGAGCCGTCCGTTCCTGGTTGGCTACCAGCGTGGATGTGGACTGCTTTCTACTCTGAGGCCTCCCTTGTGGATGTGATGGAAGGATGTTTTCTCTGCGTCGGCGAGTGGTCTTTCACATCTGTTCCTCTGTCTCTTCAGCTCAAGCGCCCCACAGATTATGACGTCTTCCGTAGACATGGCCTCGCTACAGAGCAGGCACGTCTCAGCCGATCCTCGTGCGGCTAATCAAACGGGCGCCGGAGAACAAACGCGCGATGTCGTGCTAGAGTCTGTTCGGCTTGCGCACCCGCGGATGATGGATTGTCCTCGAGTGGCTCGCCGCTCTTGCTTTGGACGGCGCAATGCCCAGGCTGGCGAGGAATGATCTAAGACTGGGAGAGCACTGGCAAATGCAGTTGCACGTTCTGTAGATCTGCCATTGCTTGTGTGCTCTCGTCGCATCGGTATCAGTTGAAGTAACATATGCTATTGCATATAGATGGGTAGAGTTACAAGGCGGCGACGGTCTATGTAATGTCTCCACAAAGAATGGGGTGGACCAGATGTCGGCTTGTAAGGCGTGGGGAATGAGTCGAGCGGAAATATCAGAGTGGGGCTTTGGAAGCCGGCACAAGCAGGGGCGACAGCGTCGTGTGCAAGATTGCTGAAACACCTGGGGCGTGACGAATATCGAGGCTGCATTCCCGGGAACGCCTCTGCCGCATCCATTATTGAAGTAAGTAGAGATGCAGGCAGGCCTGGTGGTGTTTCAGCGAGAGGCGCTTGAGAACCCGATGGCTCAATGGCTGGTGGTAGTGAAGCTCTGGGAACGCGACGCAGCGGCTGCAGGTGTGACGTCCGCAGGACGCACAGGCGCACAAGGGCGGTCCGAAGGATCCGATCTGCGTGACCGCGACGAACGTGCATGGTCGCGGTGGTTGACCAAGGGGACCGACCTGGTCGACGGAGGGTGTCACGCATACTGAATAGGATCCCGTTATTCATACAGAATACACGCACGACTCTAGGCTAGATAAATGGATGCGATAGTCTTTCTACTCCCCGTCACTCACGAGCGAGACAAAGGCGGCGAAAACGTACTCCGGATGGAGTCGGTCCTGCATCCGTTCCCGGATAAATTGAGCATTCGTCTGGTGTTCTTGCTGCTGATCGCCCGTCTGCACATCCAACACAGCCGTGTCCAGGACGCGCAATGCATCCAAATCCTGGATCCACCCGTTGCGCCCATCGACGGCCCAGTAAATCGCCGAGCCGAGCCAATCCGCAAGACAGTCCTTGGGGTATATATGGATGTATTCAGAGGCAGCGTCGGCAAATCGACGTTGCAGTCCAGTCGGGATCACTGAAGGGGCGTAGATGGCTGTGTTGTGCACCAACTCGAGCGTCGACCAGTCCAGGTCCCGCTCCGTTTGATCTGAACTCAGGGCGGTGCATTGCTCGAAGAAAGTGGTCAAAACACCCGCATATGCACAGTCGTAAACATGCTGTGCCGATGCCCGCTCCGTCCGTTTGTCATTGTCAAGGCCGAGCACGGAGCGGAACCAGTCCTCGTCCTCGAAGATACCCAGCAATCGCTCCCATTCCGACGAATCTGGGGAGAAACCTGTGAGCGCGACCCGCTGGACGATGAAAGCCAAACGGTGCGTGCGGATTTTGGCTGCTTCAGTCCGCAGAGCGCGCAGCACGTAAAGATGGGTATCGAAGTCTCTTGGTGGCACATAGGAGTAAAACAGACTCTGATAAAGCAGCTGGAGAGCGTCAACAGAAGGCTGGGGATTTGATCGGAACGTCAAGTTGTCGCATAGCCAGTGGCACAGGACTCGGGTGTAATGATGCTTTGGATCGGGCTGCGAGTCCGACTTGGGGCCGGAGGCTGCGAGAGACGGATGTCGGGCAAGGAACGGCCCAAGACGGGGAGAGTACAGCCACTTTGGATACTCTGATGTCTGGGCAAACGGGGTGATCATCTGGCGAGCAGCAAAGACGACGTTGTCCGCTGCGTTGTCCGAGTCCGATCGAATCAGCTCTCTGAGAGCGTCTTGCAACGTTTCGTAGCCGTTCGCCGCCGTGAAGTGCATTTGTGACCGGTGAAAGAGCGAAGTAGTCGCCTCCCGTTGGAAGCTGGCAGCGCATTGGGAAAGTGCCAACAGATAATCCACAAACGTCCGATGTATGCCTGCTTGCCGTTGCTTCTCCGCTTCGGCATAGCTATCACTGTCAGAGCTGCACGGCTGTGTGGGGGCCCATTCCCGGCGCCGAAACTCGATCATGTTCAGACGGATAAGGGCAGACACGTCGGGGATCATGGTCTGCACGTCAGGAGAATCGAGAAATTTCAAGCTGAGCAGCGCCTTTTCCACTTCAGCCTCTCCAACCTGAATTCGCAGAGGGAACCCCGTGTGAAGGGAGAACGCACAAACAGCCCAGATGGCCCGAAGCACAGAGAGCTGGCGGCGATGGCGGTCCTTCGCCTCGAGCAGATGACTGTTGCAGCCAGCCATGAAATCGGTAAGACGCTGGCTGAGTTGCACTTGCGGGTCACGCAACAACTTCATGAACTGTGCCTGATACACGCTACGAGGCTTGCTGTTTTTGAAATCCCACAGTGCCTGGGGGAGCCCCTCCACGAATGGCTCAAGCTCCTGATCATCAGAGAGGGAGCGGACGGTCCATGCGAGTGCCCGGGTCTCCGTCTCGACAGTGGAACGCAGCGCCGCTGATTTCAGGGCGTCCAACATACTCCGAGACTGCGGACGGCTGTCTGCAGGTGCTGAAGGTTCGACAGAGCCCCGGGAGTTCGTCGCAGTAGATTGAGCAGCTTTCTCCGCGTCTGTCACAGGAGTTCTCCTCCAAACATAGGCCTTCCAAACAGCCGCTGCCTTCCAAATATAAGCCTTCAGCACGCTTCCCAAGGTCTGTTTCAGCGACCATAGGATTCGCGTGAGTGGCGTTTGGTACGGACAGTCGAAGAAGAACAGCGGGAGTGCACTGAACGTTCCGTAGACCGAGACGAAGAGGAACAGAAGAGCAGAGCAGATGCCCATAATGATGATGTTGATGGGCACGAGAAAAGCCACTAAACCTGCAAAGAACAGGACTAGTGACGCGTGCAGGAGAAGCGGGGGAATGCCAACAACAAGATGCATATTGAAGCGGCGCAAACCGTAGTACAGATACATGTACACACGGGACCGGATGGAGGGGGAGGAGAACATGGTAGTCCGGTGGTGGTACTCCCGCGCCCACTGCTCGACGAGTGTCGCGACGAGGGCACTCGACAAGCTGAGTGCGAGGCTGGTGAACCAGAGTGTATTGCATATGAGGGATGAGAGCGGGGGTGAGAAGGCAGCGGGAGGAGGGAATGCGTCTGGTACGGCCGTGCCGTTGTTCATGTTTGCAAGCTGGCGCGAGATCTGGGCGAGCAGCGCGAGGGTTTGACTGCCCGAGTCGAGGCTTAGTGTCTTGTAGCTTTCAATGATGAATGTCGTTACAACGCCAGAAAAGAGACCAGCCTGATCAGTCAGATTCAGAATGAGACCGGGATTGAGAACGGTCGGAGACGCACGAAGATCAACAGGCCGTCCATTTCACTGCGCCAGCCATCGATGAGACCTTGATCGTACTTCTCGGCCTCGGAGATGTAGACGCTCCAGAGGTTGTTCCCGCTGGCCTTCTCGCGCTCGAGACTGGCTTCATCGGCCTGTCGTTTGTTGGTCTGCTGTGTGTCAGCTTGTGACATGGTCGGAGGCAGGAGGGAACCTGCTGTGCTTCTCCATAAACGCTGCCTCGCTGGAAGGATCCCATGGCTGACAGCCGCAAAGTGTCCTACACCTGAGTGGCGGATCTAGATACCGGCGCCCAAGGAAGCCAGTGCAAGTTCGGACGGCACAAAGATTGACCGGCCTAACGTCCCAAGGCATGGCAGTCAATCGGCGCTTCTAGGAGATGGACGGATGGCATCAAGAACTACCAAGACAGCATAGGTCCCAGGAGACGCACATGTGTCCATTACTCGCTGTAGAATTTCGCTGAGCAGATGGGAAGTCCTGAAGAACGAACGAAACGCGTACTACTTTAGAAAAGAAGAGAGTAGAGCCGGACAGGCCCGTCCTACTTGGTCGCATGCGATGTGATTCGATCCTCCCTTCTCTCGCAGCTCTGCTCGAAGTCGCACTGCCAGAGCCAATCCGATGTGTAGTCATGCGGTGCAGTTCTGATCTTGCGCTCGCACTCTCTCTACGGCAACATCAGATAGAATGCCGTTCTTCACCATGGATGCAGTGCACGCCAATGCTCAGAGAGATGAGGTTCCCATCGAGCTAAAACCGGTTGTTATTAGAGAAACGCGTTTCCTTCGAGTGGACCAGGATTGGAAGAAAACGCGGGGGTGCGAGCCCACGTGAGGCTCGTCACGAGTTTGGAATCCCGCAGTGATAGTGATAGTGATAGTGATAATATTATACACGGCATGGTCCAAGCGCTGAACGCCGTGTTCCCAAAATTAACCTAGCGCTATGTACGAGCTGTTTATGCGCCTTCGTTTTGGACCCCTTTCAGCAAACCCGACGAGCTATTCAGCCCATAACTCCGAACGTCTATCAAGGGTCTGCCTGGGGGGCAATTTTTCCACATCTAAACAGGGATCAAGGTGCCTGAATGAGCCAGTGTAAGGGTGATGCTGGTTGGTGCATCGGCTTAGACTCAAAAATTGCCATAACTTCGTACGCAAACTTCGCCACGAGTCCGATTGTTTCCCGGTGGAATAACATACGCTTGAGAAATTCTATCTCTGGCATTGACTCAAGTGGTGGCGTAGCGGGAACATCGAGTTTGAATTTGGTCATAAACGTGACGCGCAGTTGGATGAGACTAGTGTCTCCAGCACATATGAGCAGGACATGTTCCGGCGTTTCTGGGGCGTTGCGGCATAGTCTGCACTTTCGCTCGCTCGGATCAATCCGAGGCCGGCGGGCATCTGTCCATCTGAGCCTCTCAATCGCTAGTGAGTGGCTGGAGAGGAGTAGCCGGGTGAGGGTTTTCCGGTGGTCTGGATTGGTAACAGACAGGTAGTGACGGAGGTGTATAGATTTCTGCACCAGTCGTCCTCTAGTATCCGGTTCTAGGCGTCCCCTCAGGAGGTAGAGCTTCGGATTATCCCATCGATCAATATCCAGCTGCAGGTATTCACCCACGGCAACTTTCAGCTTCTTGATGAGATCATCGATGGCTGCGGTTGTGAGCGAGGGGGGTGGAGGGAGCGGGCACTCAAATGGTAAGCTTTGGAATACAGCTTTCAAGTCCCTCATCCACGAGTCTGCCCCGGCCGCATCCAGCGCTATTGAGTCTCTGCGTGCAGCAGTCACCAGCCTGGTGTCATCATCAATTCCGACCAAGTACTTGAGATATGACAGCGCCAAGATTAGGCGTCGGTATCGGATCGGCATGATCCCTGTTTCGGTGAAGAGTGGGGTAAGCATTGAGCATTTGCCAAGGCCTAGAACCCGCCGTAAGAACTCGTGCTGAATGTCCTCGAGCTCCTTCAGCAGGTTCAAGTCGGTGTCCAGTGAGATCTCACAGCCATGGGTCAGATGGGGGTCTATCAGCGCCATGTACAGTTTACGCGCATCCCACACTGGCAGTGACCCGATCACGGCTTGGAGTCCTAGGACTGTATTGGCAATAGCTCTCCCCTTGCTCGCCTTCTTAAGATAGTGATCAGCAAAGATATGTCTGTGTGTGGACCGGACATTCAGGCCGACATATCTTGTTGCTTCAACAAATGCCACAGCGTCTGGTCCGAAGAACAGTCTCGGGAGTTGTTTAGGGATGGTGCCAAAGATCATTGCGTACGACACCCCAGGGACCTCCAGTTATTACGTAAAATGGCTTCGAGGCCCCCTCCGGAGGCCATCAAACCACCCCCTACCCCCCCTGATCGGAGGCCATCCTGGAGGCGCCTTCCTAATTGGTACACTACCTGGCTATTCATCCACGGCCAGCATGGTAGGCTAGGCATTGACCCGAGTGTTGATATGTGCTGTAGTAATGAGTATGAAGTCTCAGACAATGTCTTAGCTCACAAAAGCTTGTATTTCTTGCTTGCAAATGGCAGACCACTGGGTGCACAAAATTTGGGATTTGAGTACATGAGCACTCCTCAGGTGCATAGAGCAACAGTATATATATTAATTTGAGATTGAGCATGAGGTAGCTGTGCCCACACGCAAAAAATGAGATGTTGCTGAAGGGATGGTTTATGGCCTCCACGACCTCCCAGGGGCAGAAAAAAAGGTGTTGGGTAGCCCACAGGCCCTTGAATTCCGCTTCAATAGATCAATTTGATGCTTATGCTTTGTCAAAACAACAGCCCAGGATATAAATTAGATGCTGGTGCAGTGGCAGAACTAGCCTCCACCACCTCCAGGGCTGGGGACCAAAAGCGGTTATTGTAGATTCAGCCACATAAACCATATTTCTGATGTTGTTTGTCCTAGTCAGAATGTCTGGGTATTCCAGAGAGACAGGTGGCTACATAGATCAGATGCTAGCAGCAATAGCAGAACTGGCCTCCATGGCCTCCACAGCCAGTGACCAAAAGCGGTTTTTTGGGTTCAGCCACATAAACCATGTCTATGAAGTTGAAGGTCTTCATTATAATTATGAGGGTCCTTTAGTTAGATGTCTCACCACGTGAATCAGATGCTGGAGCAAATGGCAGAACTGGCCTCCACCGCCTCCACAGGTTATTACTTGAAGAGTTGGGATGAGATGACAATGTAACAGACAGACATTCTCCTGGCTGACCACATTCTGTCATTTCCACCTCTAAATGCAAGTTGAATTGCTGCAGAATGTTAAAATGAGAGAACGGGGGACCCTGGAGGCACTGGAGGCGCATGCAAGATCCAATCAATATCATCAATTCTATCAATGCCATCAATAGCATCAAGAGCATCACCGATCATTGGTAGATTGATCAGCCAATCAGATGATGAATAAACATCGAACATCTAGTATATTCATTCCTGAGAGACACAGACTATCTGTATGCTCATACTGAAAGTGGATTAGTGGTCCCAGGACATGCCCCAATGACATATTGCATGCTTGTCTCAGGGACATATGATTAAAAATCGGAGTTGGCAAATGAGCTGAAAGTCAACTGAAGATGAGTGGTACAATGGAGTACTTTCAGCTCATTTGCCAAATCCGATTTTTAATCATATGTTCTTGAGACAAGGATGTAATATGTCATTGGGGCATGTCCTGGGACCACTAATCCACTTTCAGTATGAGCATACAGATAGTCTGTGTCTCTCAGGAATGAATATACTAGATGTTCGATGTTTATTCATCATCTGATTGGCTGATCAATCTACCAATGATTGGTGATGCTATTGATGCTATTGATGGCATTGATGATATTGATGATATTGATTGGATCTTGCATGTGCCTCCAGTGCCTCCAGGGTCCCCCGTTCTCTCATTTTAACATTCTGCAGCAATTCAACTTGCATTTAGAGGTGGAAATGACAGAATGTGGTCAGCCAGGAGAATGTCTGTCTGTTACATTGTCATCTCATCCCAACTCTTCAAGTAATAACCTGTGGAGGCGGTGGAGGCCAGTTCTGCCATTTGCTCCAGCATCTGATTCATATGCTGAGCTGTCTCCATAGAGGACCCTTGGCATTCAAATAAGACACCTGACATTGAATACATAGTTTCTGCCGCTAAATCCAAAGAAACTGCTTTTAGTCCCCAGCTGTGGAGGCTGTGGAGAGCTTTTCTGTAATCTGCTCTAGCATCCAATTCACATGTTGAGCTATTGCTCTAAAGGATCCTGTGCATCTCAATGAAGATAAATAATGTCATGAACACAGTTTGTGTGGCTGAATCTACAATAACCGCTTTTGGTCCCCAGCCCTGGAGGTGGTGGAGGCTAGTTCTGCCACTGCACCAGCATCTAATTTATATCCTGGGCTGTTGTTTTGACAAAGCATAAGCATCAAATTGATCTATTGAAGCGGAATTCAAGGGCCTGTGGGCTACCCAACACCTTTTTTTCTGCCCCTGGGAGGTCGTGGAGGCCATAAACCATCCCTTCAGCAACATCTCATTTTTTGCGTGTGGGCACAGCTACCTCATGCTCAATCTCGAATTAATACATAGACTGTTGCTCTATGCACCTGAGGAGTGCTCACGTACTCAGATCCCAAATTGTGTGCACCCAGTGGTCTGCCATTTGCAAGCAAGAAATACATGCTTTTGAGAGGTCAGACATTGTCTGAGGCTTTATAATGACTACTACAGCATATATCAGCACTCAGGCCAATCCCTAGCATACCATGCAAGTGGTGGACAAATGGCCAGGCAGCGTCCCAATTAGGAAGGCGCCTCCAGGATGGCCTCCGATCAGGGGGGGTAGGGGGTGGTTTGATGGCCTCCGGAGGGGGCCTCGAAGCCATTTTACGTAATAATTGGAGGTCCCTGGGGTGGCGTACGACTTGATAGCGTTCAGGATCATGAAGTTTGTCCGGCACCACTTCCACAACGCGGCCATCTTCCGTTGAATTCCCATAGGAGTCATCGACAGCAGTGCGACATCGTCTGCCTGCTCAAGATTTGTGATGAACACTCCAGCGAGGAGGATGTCCATTGTGGCATCTGAGACAGTGCGGAAGTCTGAGAGGTAGATTATCCAGAGAATCGGTGACGACGTGTCCCCAATCAGAATACCAAGCAGAGCATGAAAAACATCTGACATTTCATTCTCATGTCGAACAATATACACCATCCGCCTGTAAAGCATTCGGAGGAAGTCAAAGATTGCTCCTCCCGCTCCTGCCTTTCGCATTTTCAGCCACAACGTAGACTGCTCCGTTGATGGGAAGGCATTACTGAGGTCGGCGAAGACAACATACAGTGGGCGATTTTGGTGACGTGCTCGTTCAATTGCGCATCGCAGAATGAACATGTTATCATTAGTTCGGAAGCCCTCTCGGAAAGCGTTCTGTGAGGCTGGTAGTAGGCCCCTGCTCTTGCACCATTTTGAAAGGCGCATATGGATGAGCAGAGTCGTCAGCTTCAGGAAGCAGCTCTCTAGTCCAATTGTGCGATAGCTGTTTGGGTCCGACTTAGGCTTGCCTCCTTTGGGAATGCCTATGAGCATTGTGCGGAGCCATACCGACGGCGCGTCCGTCTCTGAGATGCAGCAATTGACGAGGTTGCAAAGCTGGTTGTTTTCCAGAGCGCACACGTCCGCATATGTCTGCTCATCGTAACCCTTTGCACTGGTTGGTGGGTGTTCCTTCAAGCGCAGCTTGGCCTCTGCCATGTCCTCGACCGTGAACGGGCTGTCGAATATGCGATCCTCCGTGGTATCCCGAGTCTTGTCTGCGATGGTATTCGCAAGCTCTTGATCAATTTTAAGACGCTCCGCGTCAAATGTTGGAGGGATGGGGGAGATGGGGTTCATTCTGACCTCGAATACAGCCTTCAGGTCACCCGCTGAGAATCCCGAGGACATGGGGGCTGGGTTCATGATTTTCTTTGTAGCCCGCCACATCTCGGCCTCCGTGCTGGCCTCCACAATCATCATTTGCTGCTCCAGCTGCTTCCGACGCAGTTCCACCCGGCCTCGATGAACGTTCAAGGATGGAGTGTGATCCGTGCAGACGGCGAGTGCGGCGGGTTTCGGAGGCAGTGGGAGATACTGCAGCTTTGGGGACGGCGATGGTTCACTCGTATTTGGGTACGGCATCACAGTGCCAATGGCTCCGAAAGCAGGCGGCCATGTGTGGGTGTGTTCGGTGGCCACGGGCTCGCCCGACCCCATCTGAGCCAGACTGTCTGCCGCATCGTTCCCGCCATTCCCGCTATGTCCTTTCACCTGAATCAGTACCACTGGAGCCGGTCGAGCACGAATGAGGGCGATGACATCCCTGAAGATGTCACCATTCGTGCACTTCCAGCTGAGGGATGCATTTTCCGGCGATCTGACGGCTATACCCTCCATCGCGTACACCGAGTCCGAAAAGATGTGGAGTGTTTTCATCGGGTGAGCTGCAAGGAGTGCTCTGTAGATGGCATAGATCTCAGCGCGGTTGTTCGTCTGCTCTCCTGGGGTGCGGCACGCGGTGTTGCGTAAGTTGCCAGGACCCCAGTAGATGCCTGACCCCGCAGCCGCCCTCTCTGTCCCGTTTCCTTTGCACGCTCCGTCGACATAGACATGACGAGGGGCTGATGAGACGACCGTGTCGCCGAGTAGCTTAGCCAACTTCTGCTCGTTGGTCAGTCTTGAGCGTAGCACGTCAACAAACAGGCGATCGAGAGATGTGTCAGTTGGCAGCTGAGCTAGAACCTCATCTCGTGTCTTCTCCTTCCTGGTCCGTGGCGGCTTTCGCGGAGGGAGGCAGGGAATTGGTTGTTGTGAAGATGTTGACAGGGTGGACGTGTAGCAGATGTATTCGAGGCGTATGGCAGCGTGGTCCGAGATGGCCAAGTCCGGCGGTAAGACATTGAAGAGTCGAATGTTGGGGAGGGCAGTCTGGTTAGCGAGGCCGTAGTCGATCACTGAGTTGCCTTGGGGTTGGAACGACGTGTAGGCAGCGTTTTGAGTCCCCAGAGCAGTGTTGCCGTTCAAGATTTCCAAACCAATGTCGCTGCAAAGCCGTAGAAGAGAGTGACCTTGTGGTGTAATAGGCTTGTCCTTATCAGGACTGGACCTCACCGATGTCGGCGCCCCTCCTGCATTGCCGGTACGCGCATTGAGATCACCCATCGCAATGACAGCCTTTCCGCTCGCCTGGAGAGCAGCCATTGTCTCTTCAAACTTATCCCAGGGATCTGCGTTGGTCCAGCCATCCCTCGAGCTCTGGTGTGGAAGAATGTATGCATTCACAAGGAAGAGGTCGTCGAGTTCAACGACTGTGATGTCTGGGGAACAGAGATCGTCGCGTACATGAGCGCCCAGTCCGTTAGCAATGTATGTCAGAACACCGCCCCACGGCTCGTGTAAGCATCTGTAGTTTCGCGAATTTGCGTGTAATATCATGTTATTCGGGACGGGTAGAGAGATATGTCCCTCGGGACGTAGATGAGATTCTTGGACAAAGAAGATGTCGTGGGCTCTGATGTCGTCAAGAAGGTTAGGGCAGGTCAACTTAAGATATGCATGTCCGTCTATATTCCAGCATTTGATGCGCAAGATGGATTGATTCGACGGCAGTACAGAATGTGTAGCTACAGATACAACTGGAGTGTATACAGAGCTATTTTGTGTGTTTAAGTTGCCTGCCCCCATCAGTTTCCCGGCAGAGCCGGAGCAGCTCCTTGGAACGCAACGGTGACGGCCTCGAAGGTGGGGGCAGGGGCGGCAGCCCACGCATTGACCGCCTGCGCCGCGTGCAGGTTGTGCGGGAAGGTGACGAGAACCTGGCTCTTGTTGGCCGGGCAGCGTTGGGCCTGAAGCCCCTTGATGCCATCGGCCGCAATGGTCGTGGCGTACGGAGCTAGGCGCAGCAGGGACCGGACTTGACCGGAGATGTCCCGGCCCCACTTGAGGTCACCAATGACGACAGGGACCACCCCAGCGGGGACGTGGACCGCTGGGGCATGCATGACGGCGGGGGTTGGGGCGGCAGGGGAGTGAGCAGCCGGGGCAGCAGCCGGGGCAGGGGCCGCCATCAACATCGCGGCGGGGGCCGTGGGCAGTACGTGGTGGTTGTAGGGCGCGGGAGGTGGAGCGACGGGGAGGGAGACCGTGCTGCTCCTGATGGCGATCTTCTTCACCACCGGGAGCGAGATGCCGTCGTTGGTGAAACCGTCCGAGGGGGCAGCGCGTTTCGCACCCTGCTCCAACGCTGCAGGAGGCGCGGCAACGAGGACGGCAACGGAGGTGACCACCTTCTCGACCTGGCTGGCGAGAGGTCCGAGCTGCGAGCGTAGACCTTCGACAGCTTCGACAGTGTTATTGTTCGCGTCGATAAGCTGTGCCAAGACAGGGCAGGAGGCGGGGTTGAAGGCGGCAGCACCGAGAGAGGCGGCGGCGGCAGCAACCGCGTCAGCAATAGCCTCATGGTAGCCGGTGCGCATGATCGCGAGGTCGCCCTTGAGGGCACGGAGGTCATCCCCAACTGAAGCGGCGACTTCCTCGACCCGTGCTGCGACCGCGCTGATGTTGCCATCGAGACGACGGACTCCAGCGGCGCCCGACTCCGTCTTGCTAGCCGCGGCTTTCAGGGGCGACAAAGCGGGAGCAAGAGCGGCAGCGGAGCCTGGCGTCGATGCGGGAGCGGGAGTGGCAGTGGGGGTGGGGGGCTGGGTAGCTGGGACGGCAGCAGCAGGAGCAGCGGCGGCAGCGTTCAGCAAAGCTGCTGTTTGCCCTGTCATCGAACGTTTCGACGAGGGAGTGATGAGCATACCCTCAGCGTTGGGGCCGGGAGCATGGGTAATCACGGTGGGGAGGGCCGAGGGAGGAGCGATTGGCGTCAGTAGTAACTTAGCGGCAACATCCTTCATACCGTTCTCTGGCGAAGCGTAGGGAGTCGATTATCGGTTGCTCCCCGTCATACTAGGAGTCAGTGCGTCTGGAAGAGCTATGCTTGGGCATGTGCCGTGTTTCTTCGACGCTCTCACGTCGTCAAGTCAGCTGGAGGACGAGATGCAGCCGCTGTCTTATGCGCCGTCATTCCTGACTGACTATGAGAGTGAATGCCGACTGCTTTCTGCTCTGAGGGAGCATTTCAGAGTTTCTCAATCCGAGATTGCTGGCTGGCTTCTAGATGCTCTGGACGCGTGCATTCTCTGCGTCGGTGAGTGGTCCTCCGCATCTGTTTGTCCGTCTCTTCAGCTCAACCGCTCATAGAACATGTTGTCTCCCGATGCCCCAGCCCCAAAGCAGGCAATTTGAGCCGATCATCCAGCGGCTGACGAAATGGACGCTGCCTAAGAATCAGGCGATGACGCTCGAGCGATGATCCAGTACAACATCTTCGAGCCGTAGATCCTGCTGTCGACGAAAGCCAAGCCCACCAAAATACCACCCTCCTGGCGCTTGTTATCGGATTCGTCCAAGAAGCCGTTCGCGAATACACATTCAAGCCTGCTCAGCAAGCTGAACGGATGCGATTTCCGGCCGAATGCTCTGATCTAAGGGGTGTTACACTTCGCCGGAAGCACGGTGCTGACGACAGCAGCTCGAGGAACAACTGAGCCTGTGGCATGTAAAAGAGATACGCCAGAAAGAGCTCCGATTGCTCCAGCAGCAGCAGCAGCAGCGGACAGCCACACAGTAGAACGGCTACCACTGCAACTACACTGTTAGGGCCTGCAACGGGTGCTTGGATTGCATCTTCCGAGCTCTCACGCGGAGAGGGGGTCCAGATGCGGCGTTCCGTAGGTTAGCATCAGCCATGTGTGGTGGGTGACTAGCGGCCAGACAATGGCGAGACAACGGCGGATGCGGGATTGCGATGATGCATGGGGAGATTCCAGAAACGTCTGTCTCTCACAGTCACCCTTAATGACATTACACACGAACATCTTGCAGTTATCCCGCCAGCAACATCGAGACCCTGGACCTAATAAGCACCGGTCTTTTGTGCTTCTGGGCCAGTTCAGCTCCGATCGACTTGCTCAACGCGCGATGAATGCAAATCCAAAACGCTCTGTGACGGACGCTTTTGGCCAATTGGAACCAGCCTCATAGACCGAGGAAAGCCACGGGCGGTTCTTAATCAAGGATAGGCCTGGTCAGGGGACTCCAATGAGGCTTCTAAACTCCCTGGCCACTCTTGAACGTTGCACACCATGTCTAGACTGCCTCAACCAGTGTTTCCAGTTGCGAACGTCGTGCCGACACCGGGAGACGAGGATACCAAGGACCCCAAGGACCCGGAAAACACAGCTGCAGATCTCCTCACGGTCGGAAAGCGGCCCTTGTTCGTGTCTTCGATGAGCAAGGACGAGCCGGTCGTGACGCGCAGGGAACTCTGGAGCTATTATCGTGCGTACTCCGCATCCTGCACCCGCGAATCGTCTATGAAACCCACGCCACAGTATACTGCAATGGCGATAATGTCCCTCCCTCGCGCCTCCGGTGATCACGGTTACTGACACACGCCCCAGGGCGTCGGCCCGAACGGCTTCTCGATGACGCTGTTCCAATCGCTCGCGTTCGCCGCTGGCTACGATCCCATCGCGGGGCCCGGCACGTCCTGCTCGGCAGCCAACGCGTCCGGCCAATGCGTCGTTCCATGGGGCCGCGGCCACAAGAGCGTCACGAGCGTCGTCCTCGTGGCAAACGGCGTCAGCTTCGCAGTGAGTCGCGCCGCGCGTAGACCCAGGCACGCAATCTCATCTCGCGACGTGAACGGGCTATGACCTTGATCTTCACGACGATTGGGAGCGTGGCGGACTACGGCACCTCTGGCCGCTGGCTGTTTCTTGCGTTCACGGTCATCTGTTGGGGCGCCCAGTTCGCGAGCATGGCGCTAACCAGTGCGCTCCTTGTGTTCAACTTCCTCCTTGGCTTCTTTGCTGATCTCAGCGTCAGAACCGTCCCGTTGGGGCGCGGCGATGGCCTTGTACATGGTCGGGTTCATCTCTTACGGGGCGACACTCGTCCTCTGCTCGGCGCTGTTCCCGCGTTTGGCCAGAAACACAGCGCATGCGCGCGAAATCAGAACCCGGTACGAAACGGAGAAAATTTCGCAAGAATATTACGAGAAAGAGGAGAGCTTGGAGACGAATCGTCTCAGCAATATCAGCACAGCACGTACGGCTTTTCGACTGTGTTGCTTTGGCTCACGAGCTTGGACCTAGGCGCACAGCAATATCGGATACATTGCCACCCTGTGTCTGAATCTGACCATCTTGCTTCCTTTGAGCTCCAACGGACTGGCCGATAACTACACCATCGTTTTGTGGGTGACGTATGCCTCATGCAGTTCGCGAGTATTGAGACAGCGCCAGGACGAACATGTACTGGGTGCTCACCGGTATCTGGTGGTGTGAGTCGTCTCGGAATCCTACAACATCGTCTGAGTTCTGCAGTCGTCTTTCAAGCACCACGGCCTGGCCCTCCCCTCCCAAAAGGGAAACACTACATGACAATCGGCTGGAAACAGGTTGGTGTTGGGTTTCCTCTCTGACCGCTCGATGGATATGAATAAATGCACAGATCTGGGCGGTGTGCAATCAGTACAAACAGCTTCCGTACACTTTTATCTACTTGTTCGCGTTCTTCCTCCTGGCCGATGTGAGTGTGCACTATAGAACGTTGACTTGAAGACTGACTGACTGACTGACTATATACTGTACCGTATCAGGGCCTCAACACAACCGGAACGTTGGTCTCGATCTGCCAGAACGACAAGTTCTCCTTTAGCTTCTTGCAGAACACGTATCTGGGCCTGTCGCAAGGTCAGTCTCGGCTCTTCCTCATCTGGACCTGTCCCAATGGGCTCGCCAGCCATCACCTCGACCGCGAGCACATTTGGGTTCTGGTACATCCAGAGGTACTGGAAGATCTCGACGAAACGGATGGTCAGTCGACTCAAGCCCCTGCGGTGTTCCTCGGCGACTGATTCTCCCTGCCAGTTTGTCGTCACGAACTGCTTCACGATCATGATTCCGCTTTGGGGTGCGTTTGGTGGCCCTACGTTTGGGTGACATGTTCATTCAAGTTCACGCCGGCCCAGGTATGATCGGGATCTGGACCCAGAAGCTTGGGTGAGCGAGATTGTCATACATATCACCGCTCAGTGGAGCTCACATCTTGACCCAGGTTCCACAACAAGTGGGAGTTTTGGTGCGTGCCGACGCCGCCTTTTCGGCGTGTACCCGCCGATACTCTTCCAGGGCATACAATGTCGTTTTCGGCCTCTTCCAAGCGCCGTACTACGCGTTCTCCCAGACGATGATGGCCGAGTTGACACCGCCCGGCTTTGACAACATGGTAAGCACTTACGCAATGCAATCGCCGTGCAGTTTGGTCGACTGGACTCACCCGGGACAGTTCTTCGGTCTCTTTGGTCTCTCGAACCGCGCCAGCTCGATGATCGGACCGAACGTGATCCAGGCCATCATCGACTCCTCCGGTAACAACTGGATGGGTGTGTCCGATTCCGATTCTGATACACTTGTCGTGTGGGATCCTAACACGGAACGTGCAGGCTTCCCATTCTTGTTCGCACTGTGCGTGTGCGCGTCGCTGGTCATTTGGTTCGCGGTGGATGTGGAGAAAGGCCGCAGAGATGCTGTTGCCTGGGCGGAGTCGATCAGGGAAGATGCGACTGCGAGGATGCAGTGAGTCGTCGGAGGAGTCGAACGCGATCGCGTCTTCTACCGACCTGGGTGATGAGCAAGTAATGCATCTGTGGCTCGGCAAGAAACAATCCTAGCCTGAAGCAGTGCATGTTACACCGGTGATTTGCCTGCTCCTCGAGTTTAGTCCGATGGCAACCCACGGGCGAGCATCTATCAAACCATAGAGGCTCGCATTGACCTCCGTGCTACATTTGAGGTCATCTCGTGCACGAGGGCGTTGGGGTGGTACATGCAAAAGGCACCATCCTTGCCTAATAGAGACGTACTGCATGCCCCGAATGAGCACAGCTATTCTATTTTACTATCGTCCAGAAGCGCAGCTAGACTAATCAACTGGATACTGACATTACAAAGTCGGGCAGATATGATAAATAGCTAAACACGAGATTGGATCAACTCCTGAAGCATTCGCTCTAGACCCAGCAGTCTCTCGTTCACCCAGTCCCGATGCCCCGAGATCTGATCCTCAAGCTCAGAGAACCGGCGCTCCAGCACTCCTACCCTCTCCTCGACCGTCGGCTCTTTCTCCTGTTTCTCCTCCTTCTCCGGTAGTCGAACTAGGCCATGGAACTCGTGGTCCATCCCTCGATGCGAGTGCGCCGGGCGCAGCCGTGGCCGCGATCTCCGCGGTCGGGGCACAGTGCGGATCTGCTGCTCCGCCAGCGTCGAGTAGAAGCGCAGATCGCCCGTCGACAACGCCTTCTTGACGTGGCGGTACTCGTCGCTCTCCTCCTCCGACAGCGTCGCGCCAAACTGGGCGCTCCCGTCCCCGTTCCGGATGAACAGCTCGATGTACTTGCGGCGCGTGTCGCGGCGCTCCTTGAAGTACGACCACGTCCAGCCGCGCTGCCTGACGTCGTCCAGCACGGCCGCGGTCGCGAACTTCCACAGCGCGCGTGGATCCTTGTCCGGGGGCATCAGTCGCGCGTGGCGGGCGACCAGCGGCCGGAAGACCAGATCCATGAAGTGCGTCGCCGGGTCTGGCTCGAATCCGAGCGTGCCGAGCAAAGTATCGTTGGCAGGATCCCACTTCCCCGCGAAGAACTGCGTGGCGTGTCGATCGGGTAGAGACCGTCGGAAGGTCACGGCGTGCGTGCTGCGGGAACAGGTCCCGGTGATCGTGTGCGAGTCGCCCTCCGTTGCGATGAAGGCCTGCACCCCCTCGTCGGGTGACGGGGCGGGCTGGAGCATGAACGTCATCACTCCCCCGACAGGAAGCTCTGACGTCGATCGTGCAGAGTAGAGGAACCCTCGCCATTCCGACACGAACAAGCTTTCGAATCCCGGCAGCGGCAGTGCTCCAGCGATCTCCTCCTCATCTCGTCGTGTTTCCACATCCGCGCTGGTGCCCGCTCGGCCGATCTCCTCTGTCGGGCCCTCGACATATGCCACTCTCAAGTGGCTGCCGCTGGGCGACCGCTCGAAATCCGGATCGTCGCTTGACGGGGGGAAGACGGTTTGGGGGTCCGGACTCGCGAACGAGGACAAAGACGTCGGGATGGACGAGTCGCGCGAATGAATCGAGGTCGATGGGCCCGGGACGGGTGGAACGTCGGGCGGACGATGGGAGGCGCTGAACGTCGACAGCGTCCGTCTGCGCAGGTTCTTCGAGCTCAGCTTCTGCAGCAAGCGTGGCATAGGCATCGTCGTGGTCGTGGTCGTGGTCGTGGTTCGCTTGAGAGAGACGGATACCACTGTCGTTGTTACGCATTGTCAATGTTAGGCGTCTGGAGCTGACCACTACTCACCCGTGATCAGACCCGGGCATTGAGTTCATTTGCAAGCAGAGCCGGTGACTGCATGTGCTTCGCACTGTCGCGGCAGTAATCTAAATCGCAGCTTGGATGGGCATCGGCCGTTCAGTTCTGGCGATCGGTACCTTCACGACCTGGCTTGCAAGGTTCTCAACGTCGGGTTCCGAAGAGGGAGTGTCAGAGTGCGGGCTGAGACCTGAGGTTCCTATACAGTCAGGGAGCGAAGAACAGAGGAAGCACTTGTCAAGCCGTATGTACCTGGTCCGATGTCGTGAAGTATGTGACGACGACAGCCCCGCTCCTTCTGGATCGCTTTCGGTACATTCAATGGGACGACACGCCGCTCTGATAGGGTTGCCACGCAAAACGGCACAGGGAGTCTAACAAAGGTGCAGACTACGCGCATAGTAGGCTCCCCTCAAAGTCGACAAGTCCACAACGACCCCCGCGCGGTGCAGGTCACGTGTTCTGGCCGGTTCGAACCCGGCTCAAACATCAAAATAATTCCAAGTTCGCATTCAAAAGAGAGAAAAAGTTTGCATTATTCAGTGAACATTGTGTACTTATTAGAGTCTTTATATGTTCTCTGGCTCTTTCTTTTGCGCTTATGCGCCTGGATATGTCCACCTGCATCCTCAACCATCTGAAGAGCGGGCCGCAGAGCTTCTGCCAGTTGAGGTGCTATTCCACTTGGCCGGGAGATGGTTTCCATCAAAGCCTCGAAGCTTCGCTTGAGGTTCTCCCTCTGAGCTTCGGAAATGTATACCTATGGTATAAACATTGAGATTTAACAGCTAACGAACGAATTGGACATACCCTATCACCCGCAGTACCTTCGTCATCGGAGGCAAAAGCCCGGATATTGTTGTCTTCATCACGGTCATCATCTCCGCTCGGATCGATGCTCTCAAGGTCATCGAGCCCAGGCCCAGTCACTGGCCCGGGACTGGGTGCCCGATCATTGTCCTCGTCGTCGTCGTCGGGTTCGGGTGTCTGCATCCGGGAACTCGAAGTCGATTGAGAACGGGAGTGGCCCCGGTGGAGAACCATGATTTCGACGTCGTGTTCAGGCTCGGGTTCGTTCTCTTCGATATCGTGGATCCCGGGAATCACGTAGTAAGGAGGGAAGTGATTGCGCCGCAAGTTCGCAAACAGAGCCAGATCTCGAAGAGGGCTGTTGCTCAAAGTCTGGTTAACTTCCCGAACGAGGTGCTTGCAGAGTAAAAAACGGCTCATCAAGAAAGCAGAACAACTGCAGACCCATTTGTCCACATATGTGAAATATGTGCCATGAGTGCGCTTACTCTCTTGATCCAACTGGGCGAGCCTCTCATCCCGATTCTTGGTATTCTTCGGCTTCCTAAGCCAGCGCAGTTGTTTTTCGGTGAGGCAATGATCATCTGACTTGCTGAGATCGACCCACGTAGCACGGAAGTCCTTCTGCCACCCAACGAGAGTCGGGCCACGTCCAGCACGGCGCATTTTGCGAATGCTGTCCAGGTTCCGCTTGATTCGAGGAAGAAGGTTAAGGATTATGACGTGGGTAACCAAATCAAGTCGCGGTCGATTAAATTCTGCGAGATCGCGATGCTTCACGTGTTTCCAGAGGCTCTCGACAATCATCGTGGTATTGATACGTGGGATTGCCGGCTCTGATGCTCGCGCCCAGAGTTTCCACTGAGCGGGGGAGTACCACCGGTTCCACATATACGCCCAGAGCTGCGAGAGATCCAGATCGAAGCAGTGGAAGTACATGTCGTACACAGCAGACTTATAGATAGCGTCGGCGGAGAGAAATGGATTTGGCTTCTCTGAGTCTGGATCATCCGGCTCGTACACCGGAATCTCCGGATGTAGTCTACCGTGCATCTTGTAGAGGTCGAGAGTGACATCACGATGTTCTGGCGGACAGAATACTCCCAGATCGGTCTTCCGAGCCTTAGGTGGGTTCGGATAGATCGGATGACGGATGTCGCCCTGAGTAAGAACGAATATCGGAGGAAGCAGTGTCTTAGTCTGGATCCCATCCTCACAAAGACTGTGCGTATAAAATGGTCAAACATCTGCTCACTGGACCGTTCACATTGTTGCTATCCTCCTCCTGCTCCGAGTCGTTTTGTTCATGCTGAGAAGCATCTTCTTGAATCCGATCAATCCCAGGTGCCCAGGTAGGGTCAATAAAGTCAAAGACCATGTGTGCTTTGCGAGGATCGTAATGAGCAGGCCGCTTGTCCTCTGCGAGTCGCTCCTTCACATATCGAGGACCGTGCCACATACAAAGCTGATGTTTGGTACCAGGTAACGCGGTTTTGGCGGCATTAATTTCACTGATGTCTTTGTCCGTGTGCACGAACTGAATATTTGGACATTTTCGAGAGACTGCACCCAGAACCTGTTGAAGCATTCGGTCTTTGGCACCCTCTGCAGCATCGTCACCTGTCGATGTAGTGAAGACAAATGCAAGCGGTAGAGCGGTGCCATTTGCTTCAGCAACAATCGCATACAGCTCATATCCCGCCGCATTAGTTTTCCCTACAATGCTCAATCAGTGCACAGACAGAATAATCTTTAATAGACACTCACAAGTCGAATCCATTGCAATCTCCTCTGTGTCTTTTCCAAAATTGTTGATTATCTCGCAGAAACAAAAAGCGATTGAGGACAGCCCAGTCTCTTGTTTGAGCTCAATGATCTCAACAGTCATATCCTCGTACTCCTGCAGCAGGGCAAGGGCAGATGCAACCTGATCGTCGCACTTTCTCCAAGCTCCCTGATTGATGTCCGACCAGAAACGATAGATTTGCCGTTCTGTCAACTCTGTAGTAGGATCCAATTTCACAACCTCCTCCCAGATCTAATATCAAGCAATGAGGACTCCGGCCAGCCAACGATCAAGAAGAGAACTGACTTTAGTTGGAGTTGAAGTCTTCATCTGCTTGACTAGACTCTTTATGTCATCGGAAATGGAGATATTCGTGTAGTGTGTGTGTGCAAGATGGTGTGACAATCGAAAAGTCCCCGTGCTGAGGTCAAGCTCATTGATAATGACATTGAGCCAACCATTGCAAGCAAAATAATCCATGGTAACACGAGCACGGCGCTTCTTGGGATCAGCAACAAGCTGATTCTTTGTTTTTTCGCCCTCGAGCTGCGCGCAGTGATACTCAAAGCGCACAATTGAAGGATTGGTGCGGCTCGGGCGTTTCTGCTTATATCTGCACCAAATTGTTAGTAACTTTCTATAGCGCTCTTTCCTGGAATACGCACACGAATCGGTAGCCTGTTGCTTCCCACACTTGTCTGGCAAGCTCGTCTGCCACTGCCTTCGGGCTGCACGCGATCTCTGGTCGCAGATTGATCTCGGCAAGATCAAGGTAGCATTCAGTCTCGAACGCCTTGTTTGAGCCGTGCTCCCTGATCAGAGCAAGAAGTGTCTCCCGGGAGAGTTTAGGGAGTATTCCCCCCGAGTTGTCTTTCCCCCGGAGTGAAGCAGATGGCTCTTTCTCCTTTGCAGCGCCGCGGGACTTGAGATTCTTCTCTCGACATTTGTGGCAGTGCCTCGTGTACTGGAGACTCGGGAGTTGGGGAAAGGCAGACTGAGGACCGCGAAATGTACAGCGAGTGCACTTCACTAAGGGCTCGGGAGGGGGGCTCATGTGCGTCTCGGAAAAAAAATTGATAACAAGGCATCAGCAGTCCGCGCCCAGATCGGGTGGCTGTCGGAAGTATCGGCCGAAGGCAATTCAAGCAGCAAAAAGGCCAAAAAACACTGACTGGACTCGAACAAGGGGCCTTCCGTCAAGATCGATACACAGAAATAACTACTGAACCATAAACATGTGGTAAACGCTCGCTCAGTCCTTAATAAGTGGTCCCTGAGACACCGCATTAATAAACAAAAATGATTTTTCAAGTTACACTTGACCGGACTCGAACCCTCGCTGAGCAAATCGCACACGTGACCTGCACCGTGCGGGGGTCGTTGTGGCCGAGTCCTCAAAGTCTACTCAGCGCACTGATTCGGGGCATCTTGTAAGTGCGATATTTGTGCAGTGGGGAGAGACACCGGAAACGAGATTATAGCAGTGAGATATGAGCCGTAAAGACTTGGCTGGAGCTGAGCGAGGGTTGCGTCTAAGGCAGTCGGTATAATGCCGCCGGCGTGGCGCTCGTGCTAATGACGGAAGGTTGTGAAGTATGCACCGCCACCATCAAATTGTAGATCTTTCGCAGCTGTCACTGCTAGCTTCAGTGCTTGAAGTTGCTCTTTGAAAATACGTGTCTCACGATTGAACGCGCCCCCTGCCACGGAATATCACTGCAGTACGGCATACGGCCCCTTCTGCCAGTCGGTGCTCCGTAGAGACACAGGCAATAGAAGCTAGATTTCCTTACGCTCTCTCGTCGTTCTGAGATACTGAATCGAGCACATGATGGTTGGATACTGCGGAATAAGTAATAGGGGCAGTCAAAGTAGGCAATTCGGGCGTGATTCGAACAACGATTCAAGATGCGATTCTGGCATTTTTTAAATCGTGGGAAAATCGACAAATCGTCGAATCGAGCCTGAATCGGTGAAGCAGCTCCTGAGCTGCTTCACACAACGATTCTGCTTCAGATTAAAGTCCTTTCAGTATATTTCAGAGTACTTTTTACACGTAACATGGCAAAGACCTCCGCTGCCGGTGCCCCTGGTGCAGACATGAAAAAGAAGAGAGGAAGACCCAAGAAGGCGGATGCTAAGCTTGCTGAGCCACCTGCTGCCCCGTTGCCCATTGTTGCACAAGACCTTCCTGTCAGCCTTCTCGAGGCTGCACTGAAAGCTGCCACAGATTCGGGAGACATGGAGTGCGTCCACTGGCTCTTCTGCCTTCAACTAGAACTGACCACTAGTATCAGTTGGTCAACGGAGGACGGCATCAAAGCCACTTACAATCTCATTGCGCACATAGAGCAAGATCCAGATGCACGCAACTCTCTCTATCCGGGCAAAGGCTCCAACCCACGCTCTGGAGGCAAGAGCAAGACAGAGTATCACTGGGCTCTGGCCGTTGCCGCATTCAAGACCCATCCTACCCTTAGTGAAGTGTTCTCTCTTGTTGAGAACATCACCGGCAAAGACTCAGCTAAAGCGCGCAAGCCCTGGCTTCTCAAGATCAAGAATCGCCTTGAGTGTAAGGGCAACCTCGAGGCCCGATCTCAGAGTCCTGACAAGGGAGAGTCCAAAGCGTCAGATAAAGGGACCGACTAATACAGGAGACTTGGCAGACCTGACAAGGGAGAGTCCAAAGAGAAACCGAGTTGGGGACTCTCCTTGTCAGGGCCCACTATATATAGCCTACAGAACAATGGATGACCAAGCACAATGGAAGCGCCAGACAATGGGGCCAGGGAACAATGAGGGGCCGGATCGGGGGAGAACAATGGGAGCCGGACCGTCGGAACAATGGGGGTCCGGGCCCGAGTGTCATGTGGATGCGCTTGGCAGGGAAGTCCGGACCAAAGCATGTGATGCCTGACAGATGGCGCGTGCACAGTCACATGCAAGATCCCAGGATGATCGGACGAAAGCAGGGGTTCCCCTGACATCACCCCCCTCTTGATTGCGGCGCCTCGACGCAAGGCACGGTTGGGGGTTGACGAGTCCCTGAAGGGCAGCGAGTCAAATACGGCCGCTGCGATGACACGTGGCTTCCCAGGGTATTTGCGGTAAAATGCTGCCACTGCGTCGTCAGCAAACACATCTGAGTGCTTGACCCACTGGTCATGAGATGGGTCATAGCCCTTCCATCGCACTCGGAACCAGACACTCCGGTATCGCATCTTTGCGTCTAGGATCTCCTCCACTTCCCACTCCTCTCCTTCGCCTTGTCCTAGGACAGGGGGTGGTTCTTTGTGACGCGGGCGAGTGGGGAACGGGTCGTCTTCGGCCAACTGGAGCTTGACCACGGGGAAGACAGGGTGGAGGCGAGAGAGGCTAGTGGGGAGGGCGAGCTTGTATGCGCCTTGACCTACGACTTGGGTGACCTTGAAGGGGCCCAGGCGTCGGTGGGAGAGGCCACGAGAGGGTCGCGTTGTTGTGATGTCCAAGGCGTCAAGCCAGACTCGGCTGCCAACCTTGATGTCGGGAGCAGTGGTCCTTCGTCGGTCATAGTACCTCTTGTACTCGTCCTTTGCCTTGACCAGTGCTGATTTGGCCTCGGTTACGCCCGATGCGACCCGATCCAGAAACTCGTTGGCAGACTCTGCTCGGGTGGAACGCTGCTCTGTCGGCTCGAATCCCATGCGTGGTAAGCGTCCTGTGTCCGTCATGAAGGGAACCTGTTGGGTCGAGGAGTGGACGTGGTTGTTGTAAGCAAACTCGGCTGCGGGCAGGAGCTCGTCCCAGTCGTCCTGCTTGTAGCTGGTGAAGATCCGGAGGTATTGCTCCAGCTCCTGGTTGACCCGCTGATAGGCTGGCTACCAGACGCGCTCTGCACCAGCTCTGTGAGGGCGTATTTTTGCGCTTTTTACAGAGTTTACTCTTGAATCACTCGGTGTATCGTGTCGCGGTTGACAGTGTTGCGCTCAGTAGGACTTATGGGTCTACTGCCCAGTTGACGACTGTGGATAGTGTCGACGATAGCAAGGCAGTCAGACCACTACTGTGGAACTGGTCTTATGAGTCTACACCAGGCTCAGGGCCATTAGTGACGAACGCTTGGACCGCGACCATTCCCCAAAAAGGGATCTGTCGTTGTGTCGACTTCTCAAAAAGGGTCATTCTCTGCAGATGGGAACTTGGGCTGAAGGGCTGAGCAAGGCGCGACGTCCTCAATAATAGAACTACTACTGGACAGGACTTGGCGTTACGAGACTTAAACCATCTTGTCGCGGCAACTCCCGGTTTTGGGTTGGACGTTTCCTCAGATCATGCCACGACGACGACTTGTCACATGTCAGGATCCATTCGATCACGGGACACTGTGGACGCGTCGCGGTGACACTTCCAAGTGTCACGGCGAGTCGCGCCCATACCCAAACACACTAGAAACCGACACGGCTAGATCCGTGAACCGAACCATGTGGGGGACGACTGGCGGGCCTAGGGCCATACGGCTTCTTGGGGCGCCCACGTTGGTCTCACATGCCAAGACATACCCGTTGGCCAATCCAGCACGTCGTATTCCAAAAGTATGACGCGGTGAGTTGGCCCACATCAAAAGTATCATATGGACTATGGGGCGGGGTCCTGATCACTCAGGTCCTGTCCGATCGTTCAACTTTTCAATTACCCTAAAAGGCAACCGATCTTAGATAGCGTAGCTACTATGCAGTTGTACAGGACTCTACTAAGCATCGTCGTAGACAGTATAAGTAGCACGACGTTTCTTTGTATTAAAAAGCTTTCCCCCGGACTGTGAATCACTCTCATTTCAGATTGTTTTGTACAATTTGCGTGCCGCGTGATTCCACCCTAAGGAGTTCTGCTACCCCTGCCCGGTCGCGACGAGTTGCTCCCTGAGCACTTGTAGCTACTGTGATTTGAGTTTGAGTTGAGACATCAGAAAGTCGGATTCGCCGCATCTGGTTTAGTCGCGGCATTTAGTGTCGTCGCCTTCGGGCTTTGTTGAGATCGTTCCACACCTCTAGCTTGGCAGTGCGTCGACTAGTTGTGCTCGGGTTGTTTTGGTCAGTTGGCAGTGCGTCGACTTGAGAACTTTGGTTCCACACTTCTTGCTTGGCAGTGCGTCGACAAGTTGTGCTCGGGTTTTGGACATTGGATATTGGCTGTTAGTTGGCAGTGCGTCGACGCGGCATTTTGGTTTACTAGTTGGCAGTGCGTCGACTCAGTACTTTTGGTTGTGTCAGTTGGCAGTGCGTTGACTTGATATTTGGGCTTTGCGTCACCATCTAGACGCTGTTGCTACAAGGGATCTTAATACTTCGTATTAAGCTCTGACTTGTTATATCGTTGGTTGTGGATTGTATTAGTGTTGGTTGTGCTCGTATAGAAGATATTGGTTGAGATACCATTGTTTGCTATATATATATCCTTGTCGTCGACTCCGTCTCCGCGACTATTGGATCTGCGTCTATTGAGAGTTGTGATACTGGTGCTCTGTCCACCCCGAAGCCCTCGCATCTTTCACACACTGAGAAGCTGATTACGAGGAGTGTGAACGTGTTTATATTTGGGTTTACTTTCATAGTAGATTCACTTGTGAGCACGCCCTCAGCATTTCATCTGGAGCCCACCGCGAGGGGCTTCTAAAAGTTTCATAAACTTTAAAAATCAATAAACCGGATTCTTTTCCGCGACGTCGGATAGAGACCAAGGGTTTATCCCGCGAAGCAGTTTATTTCGATCCCAAGCTCCTGCGCGACCTCTCGAGGACCAAGCGGAGATTGAGACTGAAGGAAACGCTTCAACTTCAGGACCTTTCGAAAAACCACGAAGGTCTGCAAGACATAAAACACCTTTGTATCTACCACCCTTGCCTTCCAAGGCAAAAGGAAAACAAAGAGTGAATTCGTCGTCGAAGCTTCCAGCTTTAGACGCGGCTACTTCGAGTTCGACAACAATCAGTCGATCTCAGACTAGCTCACAAACTCTCTCAGAATTGTCTAGTAGCGTCACCGCTACAAACACGAATTCTAACAACATCCCTACTTCCCCTGTGACTTCAGTCGCGACAACTATGGCTCCAAAGACTGGGTTCAAAATCCCTCAACCTTGGGACACAAGTAGACCTATACTTGATGAAAAGGATCCCCTGTCGATTGAGGCATATTTGCGTCACTGCGCGCAGATCGTGGAGGATGGGGGCATCACAGATGTCAAACAAGCGAAAAGCATGTACATTCGTTATTTGCCGTCGCGGCAAGTGATGGACGTATGGGAAGGTCTCGATACCTACTCGGACGACACGAAAACTGTCGCGGAGTTCGAGGCCGAAATCTTAAAAGGATACCCTGAGGTGTCCAAGCGAAAAACGGGGACCATGGCAGATCTAGATAGACTCTGTCGCGAGAACCGTGGAATCAAAATCACGGATGAGGGAGATTTGAAGCGTTTTGGCCTTCAAATGTACAGTCACTACAAGCGACTGTCAGTCCCTCCTGCCATTATTACCAACAAAGTCGCGTGTGAACGCTACATGCGTACTTTGGACTCTGAGTTCAGTACTGTCTTGCGAAATGCTTTGGCTACGAGTCAAGTATTCAACAAGCGCTACCAAACTCGCGCCGGGATAGCAAACGCTAATGTCCCCGCGACTGGAGTCAATCGGCAGGACGACCCCATCCAGCTGAAAGAACTAATGACAATGGCGGAAGAAATGGCGTCGACGTTGAGCAACGAAGACGAAATTCCCATAATCGCGCGACCTCCTAAGGTTCGCTTCGACTATGAGACTAGTCCACCCAACCATGCTAAGGTTGAGGAGTTGGAAAATTCGATTTCCAACTTGAAGGACTCATTTCTTCTACACCAAAAAGAGCTACAGACTCAGTTGCAGGAAGCGCTGAAGACGTTTGTACAGACTGCTCGCGAAGCGCCTATGCAGCGGTCGCGGCCAGTAGGCAACAACTCTTCTGTGCCCCACTTTGAAAGTCGCGCACAAGGAGGAGCTGCCGCACGAAACGATGACTGTCGCTACTGTGGACAAACTGGTCATTGGTCGAATGAGTGCCCACTCAAGAGGTCTCACATTGAGAAAAACCTTCTCAAGGTCGACACCAAAGGGATGTGGAGGCTCTTCGACGACAGTTTCCTACCAAATGGAGAAGGGACTCAGGGACAACGAGTAGAGGCTTATTGGAAGAAGAAGGGCAAGTCCGTCAACTTCCAAGACTCTTACTACTTGGATCAGTTCGATAGCCGCGACAATGATGATATGTCCGACTACCCTGAAGAAGTGGCAGATGAGATACGCTCCCTTCGAAGTCAACTCATCCAATACGAGAGGAAGTCGTCGCGGCCAACTCCAGAGAGTCGCGCTGAGCCGAAGACTCAAAGAGCTGCATCTGGTTCAACCAGTAATGCAATGGAAAGCGTCATGGGTCAGTTCATGCAGAAAGCCATGACCGACGCCATGGCCGGCTACTTCAATAACGTGAACAGTGGTTACCCTCAGACTCAGGAGCAGTTCATTCAAACCCGTCGTGGTGCGAATAGCCAACCTGAGCGCGACGATAACAACTCGGGTTTCTAAATGGTTCAAGGAAGGGGGCTAAACCCACAAACTCAGCCAAGCCCTCTGAGGACCA